TAGGCCCGAGTGGCAGAGCGGCTTCTCACAAAAATGAAAAGTTCAGCAAAAAATTCAAAGCGTGTCAGAACTTGTTTTTTCTTCTTCCCTCTTTCTTTAATCATCTGACAACCCCCTGGATTTATCCAGCGACCCTTTGGAGGGGCCAGGCCCCCAGGTTCCATCCAAACCTGCTCCAGATGTGATCAGACATCTGTCTGACTCTGAGATCCTGATCCTACACAGTTGTACTGTTTACTGTGACGTACCTGCCTCGAACAAGCTACAAGTGTCTGTGGCCTGATTGTGAAGCTGAAACAAGTTTGTGCTTCACTTTCAGCTGAGTCACTGCTAATGACACACTCACACACTCTCTGCTGTATTTACATATTTATATAAGAGTGTTGTCCTTCGTCCCTGGAGCTGCTTGAACCTTGAACCAGGCCGTCCATCACAGTGAGCATCAGGTCTCCATCATGACTTCAGAAACACAGTGTCCGACTGTAGCTGTGAGCAGAGAGCTGCTGCAGCAGGAAACAGGAAACTATGTACCCAGCAGCCCCCTGGCTCCGGGCTCCATTATGGTCTGGGGGAGACACAAGAAGACCTCACTAGTGAGGACGTTTCCTCCGAACAGCTCCTGCTCTAAACTTTATCAACACCGGCTCTGACAGACAGTAACGTGATGTGATGAACGGCCTGGTCTCCTCACACTGAGTCATGTGACACAGCAGCAGCCTGGAGGATGAGACAGAAGTTTGGAGAGATGAGGGAGAGAGAGGGAAGACCTGGCTGCAGCTGGTGAATGAGCTAACATCAGTTTAGTTGGCAAGTACTTAACCAGGTGTAGCCAGTCCTATTTCTACGTGGCTGTCAAGTCTAATTTCTGCATTGTGTCTTTAATGATGAGTTGCACACAGTGATTTGCCATCTCTCTGTTACACATCTGAAGGGCAGACAAAGACAATAGACTCCATGTGAATGAATGACACTTTATTATAGACTCAAGGTCCAAGTTCAAAAACAAAACAAAAAAAATGTTAAAAAGGAAAGAAGAGGAAACAACAATAAAAAGAAAACCCGAATAAGTCAACAATAAAATGATATTATTT